GCTGGCGGACCCGGCCACGGCGGCCGCGGACAGACGCGCCTCCAGCATAGCCGCGCTGAGGCTCAAGGCCAAGGAGCACGCCGCGCAGCTCACGCAGCTCAACATCCTGCCGGGCACCAGCACGGGCAAGGAGGTGTGCTAAAGGCTGCCCTCCACCCGCGCGCCCCGAAAGGTCACCTCAGCACCACTCAAGACCAAATGGAAACAGAGGACCAGCACACTCCTGAGACGGCACTGAGAGAGCGCAGCCGCCTTCGCAGCAGCCCGCACGCGGGCGAGGCAGCCCTCGGCGCTAACGGACGTGGCACCTCCTCGGCTGGCTGTCCCCCCCCCGCCCCCCTCCCTGTCCCCGCCACTGCCAACCTCGCTCCAACTCGAACGTCCACTTTCTCCCATTCTTACTTCGCTGAAAATACCGGGGAGGTTTTCTCCCCAAGACGCCTGGTTATTTGCTTTTTTTTTTTTAAATAGCATTTTGGCGCTCCAATTTGATCTCCCCAGCGCGGCCCGGCGTGGAGCCTGGGCCAGGGAAGTGAATGCGAGTCTGTAAGATAGCTAACAGTGCACTTAAAGGAAAGGGGCGTCTTGTTCTTGTTCTCTTCTTTATCATACACCAACCAAGGTTTTTATATCAAACCAAAGGGAAATACTCTGCTAGAATATGGACTGTTGAAGTCACCAAACTGTGATTATTGATCCTGTACATACCATTGTTATTAAAAAAAAAAAAAAAGAACAGAGCTTTGTATATTTGAAATGTTATAACGCAATTGCACTCAGCGTGGTATGGTAAAAGTTTGTCCTCCTGTAGATTCTTACTGTGTTGTAGATACGGTAGGGTTCCTAGACAAATATTTATGTACTCAAGCCCTTTATTTAACTTATTAACTGTAGAGGCTTCCGAAACCTTCAAGATAAAGGCAATGGTACAGTACTTTTGTGTAATGTGTAACTGTTATCACTTTTCCTTGCTATCTAGTGGAGAAGTGTCACGCTCAAAATAAAAAAAAAAATTATATGTTTAACAATAGGAAGTGTGAATGCTCTCTGTAGGCGCCGAGAGGACCTTAGAAGGGCCCCCCACAGGGGCCAGGGATGGGCTAGGCCCCCCGCACCTCCTGGGTCGGTCTGCACATGCATTTTACTCGGTGAGGCCCCTGGCTGGAATCGGATCCTTTCAGGGACCAGGTTTCCTACGAAGGTTAAGGACGCCACAGCGGTGCTTTCCAAGTGCACCTGAACTCCCCCGGGTCCTGTCGCAGTGGGAGCTGAGGGGCCTGGGCCTTGGAGGTGGGGTGTATTCTAGGGTAGGTGGGTGTATAATAGGCGTTGCTGACGCTGCAGTCAAACGTTTGAAGCGAGCGGGAGTTTTAGCTGGGAAGGAAGCTGTTCGTGGAAAGTGCCACGTAGCAACGAAGTGCGCAGTCCGAGATGACAGGTAATGGCTAGAACTAGAAGTCGCAGCGCTGCTTCCGAGGGGGCGGGCTCCGCGGTACACGCTGGGAGGAGGGAGAAAGGGAGAGAGGGAAGGAGGGAGGGGGCCGAGAACAGAGAGAGAGAGAGAGAGAGAGAGAGAGAGAGAGAGAGAGAGAGAGAGAGAGAGAGAGAAACGCGCAGAAACAGTGATGGAAAGGCAGCGAGGGGTATCCAAGTGGCAGATCTTAACTCGACAAATGTCATTACATCACTTATCCAAGCATCGGGAAATGTATACATTTAAAAAAAAAAATCTAAACAACTCAGGTTTCTCGAGGAGACCCAAACAGATTTGCAATCTTTAGCCCCTTCGTCGCACCCCTCCCAGCGGCGGGAACGATGCCCGCCCCCCCGCCGCCGCCCTGCCTGCGCCCCTTCGGTGACCGCTGGGTGGAAGCCCGCCCGTGGGGGCTGGGTCTCGCCAACGCTCCCAGGGTGATGGGAAAGGGAAGAGAAGCTTAATTAGTTTCAATTTGCAGTAATTAGCGCGCCAGACCTTTGGGGAGAGGGGCAGGCGAGGGGGGGGGCTGCCGCGGCGTGACTCCCGCGGCTCGCTGAGCAGGGGACGGTCGCCCCGCCACGCCGAGGGCCAGGCCAGTCGGTCGCCGCGGGGGGCGCGGTGCATCTCCGGGCCAGGGCCCGTAGGGCTCCGCGCGCGCCCTGGAAGGAGGGGGCCGTGTCCCCCGGCGGCCTGGGGCTCAAGTGTGCGCGGCCGAGGGCAAGGCGCGGGGTCGCGCCGAGGTCAGCGGCCCTCTGGGCGCTGCATCCCCTGGGTTTGGGGTGGCCAGCCCTCCGGGCAGCTGTGGCGCTCTGGCCGGCCCATCCCGGCTGCCCACCCAGTCCTGGCGTCCGGAGCCCCTGCCCGCTGCGCTCGAGGAGCGCGCCCTCGGGGGTCGCCGGCCCCGTGTGTCTCTCTCGGACTTTGGCTGTCGCGTGGGTCCCCTCCATCCTGGCCTGGCCCGGGACTCGCCAGGGTGGGGTTCGCAGGCAGGGGTCCGGCCTGCGGCATGGGAAGCGGCCGCCAACTACCTCTCCCAGCCAGCTTCTTTCCCAGGTTTAGTGGGCCCGGTGGGAACTTTCTAGGGCATTCCACGAGGCCGAGAGTCCCAAACACTCAAGACTCCTCAGGCTGCCCCTAGCGAAAGCCACTCTCCTGGAGTGGGCAGAGCGCTGGGGAGTTTGGGGAGGTGACCGAGGAGTGCAAGAGAGATGAGGGGAAAGGAGTTATTTAGTTAGGTGGGCAATATCAGTTTTCCGACGGTTTTGGCTTTCTGTTTAGTAGGGATTCTTTTTTCTCCCCCAGGCTGCCTGTTGGATGGTATAGGAGAAACAGTACCATTCTTCCTGTTAATGAACTCTTTTTTAAGTCATTTTTTCTCATTTGACCCTTCCATGGAGCAGAAGCAAATTGCGTGAAATTACCTCCAAGGATTACATTTATTACTGGCCAATGAGAACCCCTCGCCTTGTTTTACAAACTCTTAATCCTATGCCATTCTGATGCCACAAACAAGCCCGGTCCTGGGCCTCCCATTCTTTCAACTTTCCCCAGCTGGAGGGACCTCATTCTGCACTTAATATTCCCCATAAATATCGCACGCTAAAGACCCCCTGACTTCCAGCAAGTCCACATTAAACATGTGACATGTCACGCATGACAAACTCTGAGTATCTTTTCAAAGGAGCATTAAAAGCAAAGAAACCAATTTTCTTCTCCTTCCAAACCTCCCCAAGTGCTGAATGATGGGGATTGGAAAGAGCCACTGGAGCGTACTTAGGGGGATTTTATGAGATTTTCCAGAATGATTTAATCTTATTGTGAGCATTATTAATGAATGGCAACCCAATTTGGCCCCAATATCTGGGAACACAGTCACAATGCTGGGAGCGGCTGACCCCCCCACCCCAACCTTAAGCAAACCTCTTCCACCACGGAGGAGGCCGTGTGGAGCCCTGGGGAGTTGGGGAGAGCCCAGTTCACCGCAGGACTGTCTCCTAGCACACCCAGGGCAGAATGGCCCAACACCTGCTTTCCCAGGGCCACCTCACCGCATCTTGGGGTGAGGGGTGACTGGGAGCTCTGTACCGGCCTCTGTGGGAAGGTTGAGGCGAACGGGAAAGTCACTTTGCTGCACTTTCCGACAGGTTAGCCAGATCTGGCGGAGGCCCGAAAGATAAAAAAGGAGCATTTGGCATAATATTATCAGAGGTGTTTTTCCATCAGCAATACCCGTGCTTGGACTGTGGGCAGTAAGGAGGGCAGACATCTTAGGTGTGGGGTTAAAAAGGTAGCAAGAGGATGAGTTAGGCGGCGTGCCTGGTCAGGAGAAACTCAAGCTAAAGTTACTGGTGTCGGCCCCACCAGCCGCCTCTCCCCCTTCTTACTCTCCCAACTGGGACAAACATTTATTGTTTTTCATTACAATACTGAGTCAGAGCACCCACGGGTTTCTGTTTAGTATGTTTTTGAGCGTGGGGATCTCACTAGAATGTAAAAAGGGGTTGATTATACGTAGGTTAGCCCAACTTGCTAAAAAATGTGCACATGAGCACATGTGTATGTGTATACACAAAAATGTGTCTGAATGAAGGGGGTCATAAATGGAGCCTAACTCGGTATTTTGGAACACATAGTTCCCCAGAGCAACCGCATATTTAACTGATAGTGGCAGCCTGGCGGGGGGGGGGGGGGGGGGGGGGTTTGCTACACGGGAGGAAAAACCCGCTACCTGACGGGGAAAAGCATTTTTCAAAGGAAAAACCGTGTTGTCCCTGGACGTTATTAACAGTCCAGTTTGAAGTACACATTTTTTTCCTTTAAAGAAAAGAGAGCGATTACCAGTTATACATTAAGAAATGTCATTCAGTCATTTTTATTCATTCTCCGGAAATCTTCGTAAAAGCCTGAATCATACTTCTACAAGCAGCAATTTTGTTAATCCAGGGGGTTATTACTCTGGGCCCTTATTAGGTTCTACACCACTGCCAAGCAATCCTATAACCCTCTCAAAAGAAGTTTACCTCCCTGTTATAAAACCAGTAGTGGTATTTATACTGTGCAATAATTAGTGTATTACTTGAATCCACTAACATGTTCATTTTATCTCTGCACAAAACCTCTAGTCTGCTTATAGAAAGCTTGTGCCTCCTTTGGTGCTGTTAAAGTGGTGAAAGAGTGAATTGAAGGCTGGTTGCACTTTCTCCTTTTGCCTCGCCTTAATTCCCATCTCTTTTTGCTCTCATCCAATTAGCACAGTGTATTAAGCGGTTTATCATCTCATAGTCAGCTATTGAGAGAAACAAGGCGAGCACTTTGCAATAGAACCTGCGCTCCTTTGACACCCTCAGGTACTTACATATTCCACTGCGCTATGAATAATAGAGGAAGAATGGAGCGCTAATTCCCTCATCAAAGAATGCCTTGTCTGCTGCTTTGCTCAACAACACCATTCTGATCAAAAGAAAAGCAATAAAGCTTAGCATAACAAAACGAAACCTACTTATTAGCTTAGTGGTTAAATTAATGCAGAGCCGCTGCTATTCAAAACCAAGGTTTGAAAACAGCCTCCAACAACCTGATAATGCTGCCTTCGGGATGAAGGAATTTTAATCTGAAATTTGAGGCTGGCTCAGATGAGTTAATCTATTAAACTGCTATAAGGAAGCTCCACCACAAACTGCTCAATTAAGAAATATTTAGGTGAGGAGAGAGGGAGGGAGAGAGAAGGAGAGAGGGAGAAAAGGAGAGAAGGAGAGAGGGAGAGAGAGGTGTAAATTTGGGAGTTTGGGATGGGAGCAAGGAATAGCATTGATTTGAGTGGCTGGGGATCCTGACAAGAGAGTTTGGGGCCTGATGTTTTTTTATAAAACCTGACACAGATAGGGAAATCTGTTTTGGGAGTGTCCTTGTCTTTTCATCTTCTGGCAAGCCTCATTTTAAATGATATGTTTGTAAAAAGTGTCTCAAGGTGCGCGTGTGCGCCTGGGCCGGTGCGCAGGGCAGTGAATTCATTCCTTGTCAACACCTCCCGAGAGAACTCCAGTCTGCACACTTTGAGGAGCCCCCACATCCGGGGCAACAGTGATGAGATTAACTCCATCTACTTTTTGGGCAAGTTAAAGTCTTACAGCGCATACTCTGTAGGATTTTCAACTTCCGGCCTGCCCTAACCACCTTTGTATGACGGAGAGTTGAGGGGAAACTGTGTCAAAAGACCCCAGTTGCTAAACTAAACACAAAAGGTGCCTTTTTTAGAGGCTTGGGCTCTGAGCTGAGCAAGGTATTTTATTTAATTTATTTATTTTTGGTTTTTTTCCAGTACCGCGAATTGAACTCACCACCTTGCGCTTGCCAGGCAGGCGCTGTGCCACTGAGCTAAATCCCCAGCCCCTGAGCAAGGTATTTTAAAGGTGCTATTTCCCAACTGGCTCCAATAAAGTTCAGCCTGGGTCGCACCATTAAAAAAAAAAAAAAATCAGTTGCCAAGCTGTAGAAATTGAGAGTGTATGGGTTATTTGGGTTCCTGGCTTCTCTTGAAAACCGGACATGTGGAC